CTCCCCGGGCAGCGACCGGCGCGTGGGAGCCACTCTTATAGTGACCACCAGCAAGGACAGCGCAGGTGTTGTACCTGTAGCTGACCAGGCATGCGCACTGCACACCTCACCTTTCCCACCGCGGGTCTGAAAAGATCAAAAGGGCCAGCTATTGTCTGAGGGTAGGCACCTTTTAAGCAGAGAAAACCACGGTGTTCATTCGCTGCCCACGGTTTCCCCTCTTCTCTCAACCCCCGCCCCAGCGCAAGCCCAGAATATATGCGCATTACTTAGGCACACCTCCTCGCTGGGATGTCTAACAAGCTGTTATATAATGTATAGAGCTGGGCATTTGTATGTTAAATTATGCCCGCGCATTCCTCTGTATACAGTATAAATAACAACACAGAAATGCAGAAGGTGCTGTCCTGTGCTGCAGGAACCTGTTTCTTTCAAGGTTTATAAATAGCTTCCTGGAGAATAATCGCGGTGACAGACATTCGTTTGAAGCAGTCAGACGCTATTGATTTCCTTATAATTTAATTTCCTCCGCATACTTTTGTTGTTGTTTTTGTGAATATAACTGTGTCAGGCACCGACAGTGACAGCCACTTAGAAGCCACAAGGAGCGTGTGCTTTCTACTCCGGGAATGGCTGTTGAAATGAAATTGTGCCTTTCTCTTATTGTTTGTCTCCTTTAACTGTGTACAAACCCACATTTCAAACGAGCTCCGGGTGATCTGAGGCTTCTAGTAAACAAAAGGAAAAATAGTTAACAGGGTGTAGTTTGGATCCTTTCCTTCCCTCAGCACACCCCCCCCCCCCCCCCCCACACACACACTTTATCCTGGAAACTCCAGGAAAAGGAAATCACCTCAGAGAAAAGGGAATAAGATGTTGGAAAGCGAACTTTCTTTTCCTCCCATCGTGTTGACTTCTTCGCCATGTATTTTTTCTTCAATAGGAGACAGGATTAAGCCAGTTTATTAAAAAATGTAATTAAAATATTAACCCAAACCAATTTGAAAGAACGGGCCCAAGCTCTGACCTGGCTTTTACAATATTTATTTTTGTTACTGTAAAATCAAAACCTAAAAAGAAGAATAAATCAATTACCCGACCTATTGTATGGCCCTTTTCTGGAGGGCAAATCCAGGGCCTCACAGGGGACCACAGTTCAGGTGCCTGAGTCCCCAAGGAGCGGCACTAGCCCAGGAGTGATAATAGCCCAGATGTTATCACATCTGGGGTGAGAGAGCTGGAGAGCCGCAAAGGGCTGCTTATGGGAGGCAGAGATCAGATAAATAATTTTCCTGGTCTCTCCCACGCCAAAGGGATCTGTATGCCCACCAATGGGCAGATCTCATTTCTATAAACCTAAATTTGCATTCGCATTCGATTTTATCTTTTCTTTGGACAATAGCCTGTGTATTTAGCATACTCAGTCACTAATCAAATTCTAAGAGGAACCCACAGGCGTCACCGTGGCTTTTCTTTTCTTTCTTTCTTTTATTTCTTCTCTGCCCCCACCCCCACCTCCAGCCCGCCCCTTGCAGCCCAAGAAGGGAGTAAGAGGAATGTTCATTTGCTGGTGCGAGAAGGAGCCGCGTTTCCATCCATTACACGGTCCTCTGGGAGTGCTAAATGTAACTTTATCTCTACGAGAAATGGACGATGAGCAGGACAGCGCTGGAGGGAGCGAGAGAGTCCCACGCAGTGGTCGCAGCGGGTGTCCAGGTTTAACCTAATCCCTTCTGATACCCTTCGCGGCGGCCGTTCTCTGAGCTCTCCCTCAAGGGAAAGAAGGGCCCCGCTGCGGGCGAGCGCTGGGATACTAGCACCCACCCAAGCAATACGCTGACCTTTAGGGGCCGTGAAGGGTTCAGGGAGACAAACGCAAACAGCACAGATTTGGGCCCAGGTGGACCTCCAGAGAGCAAGGCGAACCCCAGAGTACCCAAAGCTCATCTTGGTTTACCCTCCAAAGCTTGGAGGGCACCAGTAAGCCCAGTGAGTGGAGAGGCACCTGGATTAAGGTCAGGAATTCACTGCCTTAGGAGACCACTTTTAGCTTACCTCTTTGGACACCGGATCCCTTCTTTCCTGGAGGGGGCGGAGGGGGGGGTGTCAGACCTTTGCCCAGAATATCTTGCTTTTCCAGGGGCTAGAAATATGAGGGCTGTGGGCACAGTTCTCAACCCACTCCCCAACCAATTGATTGAGAGTCCATTTAAGGCACATCTTTGTCCACCGTGGCGCTTAGCAAGGTGCTTGAACAGAGTAAAAATGCCCCATACAACAATACGCGTGAATAGGAGGGAAGAGGAGGCAGATGGGAGGGCCAGGATTAAAGCCGGAGAGGCTTCACCAAGCCAGGGCTACTGGGGGGCAAGCAGGAGGATCACGGACAGGTCTCTTTTTTCCCTAAAAAGGAGATGGAGACTGGCCAGAGGGGTGTGCTGTCCTCACACAGAGCTGTACATCTTGACTCTAGACGTTCTATTTCCAAAATCAATTATTTCATCCCTCTCTCATTTATTTTCTACCTTACCTTCCTTCCTCAGATGCTTGCTGGGCACCAGTCTGGGCCAAGGCAAGACACTGGAGATCAACTGAGTTGTAAAATATGGGTATCTGCCCTCCAGGAGGTGGCCATCTCTGACAGCGAGGCAGCTACAGGTGAAGAGGTGTTTATGGTACAGGTGTGACAGGTGCAATGTGAGGTAGAGAAATACTGGGTGGGGGTGGGGTGATGGTTGGAGAATTACCCTGCCATATCCCTGCTGGGCATTAGCTCCAGGCTAGCTATTGGGGCACAGTGGTGGATCTAGAAGCAGGTGTGCCTCAGACCTTATCAAGCCTTCCCCTACTTACCCCAAGGCAGTGAAAGGAAAGGGTGATGGACCAGGGCTCAGCCCAGGGATATGTCACTGTTTTCCCAGTTTGGCAGGTGCAGTAACTAGTTGCCCCCTGCCTGTACTAACGATGCCCACGTGGGGCTGAGCCTTGGCATAGATTCCTGAGCAGGTCCCCACCCCCACCCCCACCTCCTTCTTCTGGTTTAATGACCAACACAGACTACCCCCTCCCCCATCTCATAGCTTTGCATTTTATCAAGGGGCGGATAATGAATGCACAGCTATTGATTTCCAAGGAATTTCCGCCCCCCGGGGAAAGGGAGTCTATCATCTGGATCAGAGACACATTTCTTTCCCTCATTAATTAATTTTCTCCTCCTCCTTTGGCAGGCCCCACTTAACATTTCCTTTGGCAGAGCCTCTTTCCCAAGCTCAGGGAGCAGACATTCCTTGGTTCCAGTGAGGACCCGCGACAGAGGCGCTGTGTGGGAGCCCGCACTGTTGGGGGGACGTCTCCTCGCCTTTGACTGTACTGCGCGCCCGCTCCCCCCGCCCCCAATTCAGGAGAGTGTCTGACAGCTCCGCTCGCTCCTTCCAAAGGGGCTTGGGGGACGTTAGCGCTAGACTCAGGAACCGCGACCTGCATACTCCCTCTCCCTCCATTCGTTGCAGTTATTTGTCCAGATTCAGGCAGTTTTTTGGCCGTTTGAAATGTTCACTTAAGTGCGGGGAGGCTGTGTGGGCACAGGAGAAGGGGATAGGGACCCACGTTCTTGCCCAAAACCGGGGATCGGGCCCTACCCGCAGGCGGGGCCACCTCAGGTTCCGGTGGCCCAAGGGGGAGCTCTGCTCCTCCCAGACTCGGGACCCCAGGTGGCCCTCCGGCAGTTGTACAGGTTGAAACTGGGCATTCGCCGCGTGCAGGGGAAGCCCCCAGAGTCCAGGGTCAGCCGGTTTCAGATGAGGCTTGGGTTGTTTTAGGCAGTGGGAAGAGGCAGGCATAGAGGAGCCGGCCTGTGGTGGTGGTGGTGATGGTGGTGTGTGTATGTGTGTGTGTGGGGGGGTGTTGTTCGGAAGAGGGGTTGCACTAGGGCACACGCCCCAGCTCGGACACTGTCCGAAGGGTGAGCTAGAGGAGGGACTGACAAGGTGCTTTCCACTTCGACTCCAGTTCGCCTTCTCAGGGCCACGCCTGGACTGTTCTGATCCTTCGGCTCTCAGCGCTACCCTCCCGCATTCCGACTCGGTCCCTACCCAGGCAAGAAGCCTGCGCTCCTCGCCGGCCCTGCCAAGGGCCCTCGGACCGCTCACCACAGCCCGCAAGGCCTCGGCGCCCACCTCTGCCACCTCCAGGGCCCAGCTCAGGCCCAGGCGCGCGTCCAGAAAGAGTCGCGTTCTTGCAGGCTGGGGCTTGGAGGCTTTCTGGAGGCCTCTGTCCTTCCTTTCTACCCCTCCCGCTCCGCACCCGGGGCCGCTGGTCTCGGTCTGCCCCCAAGGTCAGGGGCGAGGGGATGAGT